AAAAGGGTTACCAAAGGTTTTGGTCCAAAAATGGCCATTTTTTCATCTTCCTTTTTTTTTTGCAATATAGGCCACGGAAATGTCTTTTTTACGTGATTCTAGAGCGAGAAAACGACTTTCTAGGCTATAAAAACAAGAAGTTCAAAAAGTCGAAAAATTGACATTTTTCCAAAGGGGTTAACCCATTGTTTTGGTCCAAAAATGGCCATTTTTCCAACTTTTTTTTTTTAGGTAATATAGGCCAGGAAAATGTCTTTTGCGATATTCTAGAGCAAAAAAACGACTTTCGAGGCTATAAAAACAAGAAGTTCAAAAAGTCGAAAAATTGACATTTTTCCAAAGGGGTTAACCCATGGTTTTGGTCCAAAAATGGCCATATCTCCAACTTTTTTTTGTTAGGTAATATAGGCCAGGAAAATGTCTTTTACGATATTGTAGAGCGAATAAACGACTTTCTAGTCTATAAAAACAAGAAGTTCAAAAACTCGCGAAAAAAGAGCGAAAAAACGATTCTCTAGTCTATAAAAACAAAAAGTTCAAAACCTTTAAAAATTTACATTTTTCCAAAGGGGTTAACCCATGGTTTTGGTCCAAAAATGGCCATTTCTCCAACTTTTTTTTTAGGCAATAAAGGCCAGGAAAATATCTTTTACGATATTCTAGTGCGAGAAAACGACTTTCCAGGCTTTGAAAACAACAAGTTCAAAAAGTCGAAAAATTGACTCTTTTCCAAAGGCTTTAACCCATGGTTTTGGTCGGAAAGTGGTCATTTTTCCAACTTTTTTCTTTTACGCAATATAAGCCACGAAAATGTCTTTAACGATATTTTAGAGCGAAAAACGACTTTCTACGCTATAAAAAGAAGAAGTTCAAAAAGTCGAAAAACTGACATTTTTCCAAAGGGTTACCACATGGTTTTGGTACAAAAATGGCCCTTTTTCCAAGTTTTTTTTTTAGGCAATATAGGCCAGGAAAATGTCTTTTTCGATATTCTAGAGCGAAAAAACGACTTTCTAGGCTATAAAAACAAGAAGTTCAAAAAGTCGAAAAATTGACATTTTTCCAAAAGGGTTAACCCATGGTTTTGGTCTAAAAATGGTCATTTTTCCAACTTTTTTATTTAGGCAATATAGGTTAGGAAGATGTGTTTTACGATATTCTAGAGCGAAAAAACGACTTTCTATGCTATAAAAACAAGAAGTTCAAAAACTCGAAAAATTGGCAGTTTTTCAAAGGGGTTAACCCTGGTTTTGTCCAAAAATGGCCATTTTCCAAATTTTTTTTTTAGGCAATATAGGCCAGGAAAATGTCTTTTACGATATTCTAGAGCGAAAAAACGACTTTCTAGGCTATAAAAACAAGACGTTCAAAAAGTCGAAAAATTGACATTTTTTCAAATGGGTTAACCCATGGTTTTGGTCCAAAAATGGCCATTTTTCCAAGTTTTTTTTTAGGCAATATAGGCCAGGAAAATGTGTTTTACGATATTCTAGAGCGAAAAAGCGACTTTCTAGGCTATAAAAACAAGAAGTTCAAACAGTCGAAAAATTGACATTTTTGCAAAGGGGTTAACCCATGGTTTTGGTCGGAAAATGGCCATTTTTTTTTTTAACGCAATATAGGCCAGGAAAATGTCTTTTACGATATTCTAGAGGGTAAAAACGACTTTCTAGGCTTAAAAACAAGACGTTTAATAACTCCAAGGGGGTTAGTGCATGGTTTTTGTCAAAAAAGCGAATGTTTTCTAATAGGCATTTTGTGGCGAATTAAGTCAAAAAAGAGCGTCTTTTTATATTCTGGATAGAAAAGAATGTTTTTTAGACCAGACAAGTGAAGTTTTAAAAAAGTCAGAAAAATCGAAATGTTCCAAAGGGGTTAGTCCATGGTTTTTGTCAAAAAATCGAATGTTTTCTTATTGGTATTTTTTGGGTAAAAAAAAGCCGCAAAGGAGTCTTTTTTGATATTCTGGATAGAAAAGAATGCTTTTTAGTCCAGAAAAGTGAAATAATAAATAATTCAGAAAAATCCAGATATTTCAAAGGGGTTAGTCGACGGTTTTTTCCAAAAATTCGAATATTTTCTGATGTTTTTTTTTGGACAAATTAAGCAAGAAAAGTTTGTTTCTGGTTGTTCTGGGTAAAAAAAGAATGCTCTCGAGACCAGAAAAGTGAAGTTTAAGTCGAAATTTTCCAAAGGGGATAGTCCATGGTTTTTGTCAAAACTTAAATGTTTTCTCCAGGGTACTTTTTGGACAAATTAAGTAAGAAAAGTTTGTGTTTTGTTATTTTGGGTAAAAAAGAATGCTTTTTAGACGAGAAAAGTGGCGTTTTAAAAAAATCCAAAAAATCGAAATTTTTCCATAGGTATTTTTTTGGCCAAATTAAGCCAGAAATTATTGTCTTTTGATATTCTTGATGGAAAAGAATGTTTTTTAGACCAGAAAAGTGAAATTTTTAAAAAGTCAGAAAAATCGACGTTTTCCAAAGGGGTTAGTCCATGGTTTTTTCAAAAATTTGAATATTTTCTCATGGCTATTTTTTGGACAAATTAAGCAAGGAAAGTTTGTTCTTTTGATGTTTTGGGTAGAAAAGAGTGCTTTTTACACCAAAAAAGCGAAGTTTTAAAAAAGTCAGAAAAATCGAACTTTTCTTAAGTGGTTACTCCATGGTTTTTGTGAAAAAGTCGAATGTTTTCTCATTGGTATTTTTTTTGGGCAAATTAAGCGAGAAGAGATTGTTTTTTGATATTCTTGATGGAAAAGAATGTTTTTTACACCAGAAAATTGAAATTTTTAAAAAGTCAGAAAAATCGAAGTTTTCCAAAGGGGTTAGCCCATGTTTTTTTTACAAAAATTTGAATATTTTCTCATGGCTATTTTTTGGACAAATTAACCTAGAAAAGTTTGTTTTTTTGATGTTCTGGGTAGAAAGGAATACTGTTTATACCAGAAAAGCGAAGTTTTAAAAAAGTCAGAAAAAATGGAATGGAAAAATGGAAATTTTCGAAAGGGGTTAGTCCATGGTTTTTGTGAAAATATCGAATGTTTTCTTATTCGTATTTTTTGGGCAAATTAAGCCAGAAGAGATTGTTTTTTGATATTCTGGATAGAAAAGAATGTTTTTTATACCAGAAATTTAAAGTTTTTAAAAATATTCAAAAAATCTAAAATTTCCAAAGGTGTTAGTCCATGGTTTTTTTTCAAAAATTCGAATATTTTCTCATGGTTATTGTTTGGACAAATTAACCCTGAAAAGTTCGTTTTTTTCATGTTCTGGATAGAAAGGAGTGCTTTTTCGACCAGAAAAGTTAAGTTTTAAAAGGAGTCTTTAAAATGGAAATGTCCAGAGGGGTTAGTCCATTGTTTGTGGTCAAAAATTGGAAATTTTGTCTTGTTTTTTTTTTAACAAAATAGGTGAAAACTCAGTGTTTTGTAACCTTGTATATGAAAAAGAAGCCATTTTAGACTATAAAAACACCCATTTCAAAAAGTCGAAATTTTTGCATTTTTCCGAGCGGGTTAGTCTATGGTTTTTGGTCGAAAATTGGAAATTTTATGCTTTTTTGTTTTTCTGCATAATAGGCCAATAGAACTTTATTCAATATTTTTTCTAGTCCTTTTTTGACCAAGAACAAATAAAGAAAAATATGGCATTTTTGGACAAAACCATGGGTTAACCCCTTTGCAAAAAATGTGATTTTTGGGACTTTAAAGGAGTGAAATTTTTATCGCCAAAAAAGGTTTTTTTTCTATCTTGAATGTTATTAAACATTACTTCTAGTCTAATTTTGACCGAAAGCAAAGAAAGAAAAAATTTCCTTTTTGAGCTTTTAGGGACTTTGAAAGATGAAATTAGTTTTCGCCAAAAAAGTTTTCTTTTCTATCCAGAACATTATTAATCATTATTTCTTTTCTTTTATGACTTTTGTGAAATTTTTTTTGCAAAAAAAAAAGGTTGCTGCTCTATCTAGAACATAATTTCTTGTTTTATTTTGACCGAGAACAAATAGAGAACAAAATTGCATTTTTTGACCAAAGCAAGGGTAAACGCCTTTTGAAAATGTTAATAAAAAAATATAAATATATTTTTATCGCAAAAAGGTTACTTTTTTATTTAAAATATTATCAAGAACGTTTTTTTGCAACCAAGACCATCATCAAACACTATTTCTTGTGGTATTTTCAGGAGGAACAAACAAAGAAAAATTCAAATTCTCTTACAAGAACTATGGGTTTACGCCTTTGCAAGAATGGGATTTTTCAGACATAAAACAATTGTCTTGTTTGCAGTCTAAAAAGCCATTTTGTATCTACAGCATCATCAAGCACTATTCGTCGTCGTATTTTCACCAAAAACAAATAAAGAAAAATTCGAATTTTTCGTTCAAAATCATGGGTTAATCCCTTCAGAAAAATATAACTTTTTATACTTTAAAAATTGTTGTTTTCGTAGTCTTAAATTTATATATATTTAGAACATCATTAAACACTATTCCTCGTCGTATTTTAGGCCTTCTCCACTGCAGACCACGTTTTGCGTGACACATTGCCAGTGTTGAAAAAAAATTTCTAGTTCGTCCCTCCATCTCATCAGATCTGGCAGAGCTGAGCTACTGCTTACAATTTAAATAGAAGCGGTCAGACGGAGGCCAGAAAAAACCTGCCCATGAAACCCCGAGGGGAAAAATGCGGGCAGAAAATCTGGGTAGGAACCAAGGCTCAAGCTTTAAAGTCCTTCCTACGGGACTTTTACGTGGCAAACGAGAGGCGACCACCTGAAACGAAGGTTGGTTTTGAAGGCTAGTGGAAAAAGCCATGATGAGCGCTTCACCTTTCATGACCCTCTATTTCACGAAATGTTTTCTGTAAAAGTGACTTAATCTTGATCGTACATCTGCTGATATGGTTTTAAAGAGGAGATAAATGCCAGCAGCATTTCAGTTTGTTCCACATTCAGTGCTCTGTTCTTACATTCCATTACTTTTTTTCACAGAACAACAATTCAGATTTCCGCTTCTCTGTAAGGCACGACACTTGATTGGGGCTCTAGGTTCTCTTCCTGTTAAGCTGTTGATTATGAGAAAGAAATTTAAAATTCTCCATTAATTTATCAGATGTAAATGAATGATTTTTAAGTAATCGGAGACGCATGTTTTGCGCACAGGATTATGGGATCGACAGGGGGCAAACATTGCGAGTCGCTACAAAGAAATGTATGGCGTGGAGTTCTTTCTCCGTTAAAAAGAAGTGTCTGTGGGCATAGAATGCCGTATTTTGCCGTGTGCGTTGAAATTTCAAGTTTCTGCATAATTAATGCGATAAATTCTATCGATAAACACTCCTTGCGTGAGGTTGAGTGTGAAATTTATTGTTACTGAATTTACACAGTGATCTACATGACGAAAAGGTCTCGAATATATAGTGCAAATTTAGGTATAAATGTAGGGGCTCATTTAAGCTTTTTAGTTGTAATTACGTGGTGTGTAACTACGCTCGGCCACGATCAGCGCTGTGCGTGTGGGTTGTGACAAGACAACAATACACATAAAATTCAATACATACCTTCGATCGTTGTCACAAACCGGCACAGCGTTGTGATCGCCGCCGAGCCGAGCGTAACTAAGTCTCCCCCGCTGCAGATAAAATCACGGCAAAATGCAGCATTCTGTGTCCAAAGACACTGCTTTTTTAACGGAGAAACAACTCCACGCCATACACTTCTTGGCAGCGACCTGCAATATTTGCCCCCTGGCGATGCCATAATCCTATGCGCATGCATAACTAAGTCTCTGATTACTGGAAAATCTTTCTTTTTTGGATATGAGTATCCAATGTTAACCGCAGCTATTGCTTGTTGGCATTGGCTTTGTGGTAAACATTATCTTAATATGGATCAGAATTCTCAACTACAATACAGTTCGATTGTTTAGGGCTATTTTGGACCCAAGGTATCAAATGAGTCCCAGCGTGGGCTGGAATGGGCATTTCAAAGAGCTATTTTGGTTGTTGTTGTTGCTGTTTTGAGTTCTCATGGCTCCATCAGAATTTGGTCTGCAGGACGGCTAAATTGATACTTTGCTGTAAGTAATCTTTTTACCCCCTTCTTTTCAATTTATGAAGCACTCTTCTCAAATGACCTCTCTTCTCCACGGTCTTTCTCCTTCAACAGTGGCGGGTAAAAAGACCTATCCTTTTGACGTACATTTTATTGACTAAGCTTTTCCAGCTCGATTTTCTAAGCGAAAGACTCGTAAACTTACTTCACTTCAGTGTTGCCGATGTTTTATCCATCATGTTCTTGTTTAGTGTTACTAATCTTCCTCTTCCACTTTCTTACTCTTGTTCTTTGCTTTGGCAGATCCTCATAAAACAAGGAAGATTACTTTAATCTGTGACAGTCACTGTAAACAAGGCCAGGAAAACAAGTGTAAACATACATATTTTACTGGGGTTTGTTGGTTTGGAGCTCTCGCCCTGTTTCCGCTGTAAAAAGTATTTTAAAATAAATTGAGAGAAAAAAAATTAATCAGTTTGATGAAACCATCTCTGCTTAAATTGAAAACAGATTAATTTAACTTAATTTTATTACTCTAAGCTTGGCTTACTGTGTAAATAGGGTTTGCTGACGTATATCACATATCCACCAAGCCATTTACTCATAAAAAACTTTCGCTTATAAACAAATTTACAACAAAAATTCAGGGCTTATTAATAAAACGTAAACACGACTACAGCCCAGCAAGCAAGAATGTTCAAAAGGCCTAAATTAAGTCAAATAAGTTTATTTTTCTTGCAGATAAAGCAAGTTGAAGGTAGCAAAAACTTACCAGTTCATCTATTTCTAGTAGCACCGCATTATAACACGGGTAGACTTCATGTGCAGGGCATACAATAAATTCAAAATGGCAAACACTCGTACCTGTTAGAAAACAGGGACAGAAATAATTATTCTGAATACTTGTATAAACAAAGGAGAAATAATAAAAATAGAAAAAATCCTTGATGTGCGTACACCTCGAAAAAACACTAAACCGAAAGAGATTTTCCAAATCAAACATTTCTTTACAATTTCTTTAAAAGTTAAAAATAGTTTATTAAGGTTGAGGCGCTACGACTACACTCTTTCTTTTTTACCAGAATATATTTTATAAAATATCGTAGCTGAAATTTGAGACTGAGATTTTCAATAGGATTTATTTATTTTGTCTTGAAAATCTGTTAATAAAATACAATTGTTTTAAACTTATCTGATATAATTAACCCTTTCTCTAAACAAAAAAAACTGGCAAGCAATCTTAAAAAAACTGCACCGTTAACAAAGTCAAATGTTCAATGCTAATAACAGTTCGATTGAACCGGAAATGAACCGGAAATGACATAAGCTTCAATTTAAGAGTAATACAAGAATATTTCCAGCCTAGTTATTCAGATAAAATAATGGATAAGAATCTGTTGAAAGTCAACGATCACGAAAGAACGATGGCTTTGCTTTGCTTGAAGTCCAAAAAACATCTCAATGAGATATGGCCTCTTATAAAAAGCCAGCCGTTGCTAAGGGAAATCGTGATAGTATATTTTATAAAAGACCCTTCTAAAAGAGAAATGCATTACGTAATATACTCATACCAGCCAAACTCGAAGATACAACAGTTCAACCAAAAGCAGCCGTCTGTGGTCAGTCAGGATTCAGGATCCCAAATTTCCACCTAATAATTTTAGCTCCAATTATACACATCTTCGCTTTGACCTGGAAAGACTGAATAAAAGTCGGCCTACAAAGCCCAGTTTTGTGGCCGATCTAAAACAACAACACTAGAGACAATGAAGGTTACAAATCTGGGAATAAAATGTGCTCAACCATTACCTGTAGAAATAAAAGAAACTAGAAAGTTAGAATAAGTTTTTGCGTTGGAAAGAATCTCAATGAGAGGGGTATCTTATGGTTCTTATATCTCCGGGAACCAGTATGAGTTTCCAATTTGAAAAGTACCCAAATTGGAGTGGTATCCCTACGTTTCTCTGTTCCCTCATTTATTGTGTAATATCGGTTGGAGTGTCAGCGGTTTACGCAAAATACGTCTCAACGCCTATACACCCCGTCGAATTTCCACAAAAAATCAGTTCGCAAACAAACCAGGATTCCCATTGTCCGCGTTGATAAGTTTAGATTGGTATCCGGCCCTACGTTTCTCTGTTCCCTGATTTTTTGTGTAATATCGGTTGGAGTGTCAGCGGTTTACGCAAAATACGTCTCAACGCCTATACACCCCGTCGAATTTCCACAAAAAATCAGTTCGCAAACAAACCAGGATTCTCATTGTCCGCGTTGATAAGTTTAGATTGGTATCCGGCCTTACGTTTCTCTGTTCCCTGATTCATTGTGTAATATCGGTTGGAGTGTCAGCGGTTTACGCAAAATACGTCTCAACGCCTATACACCCCGTCGAATTTCCACAAAAAAATCAGTTCCCAAACAAACCAGGATTCCCGTTGTCCACTTTAATAATTTTAGATTGGTATCCCTACGTTTCACTGTTCCCTGATTTATTGTGTAATTCGGTTTGAGTGTCAGCGGTTTACGCAAAATACGTTTCAACGCCTATACACTCCGTCGAATTTCCACAAAAAATCAGTTCCCAAAGAAACAAGTCTTCCCATTGTCCGCGTTGATAAGTTTAGATTGCGGTAACCTTGATCTTCTCTATAATAGAAAGAGATTAAAGTTAAAAAGGGCAGAAAGCTAGGAAGCTGAAGACTTGCAAACTCAAAGCACTCACTTGCTGATGCCGAGAGTAAATTCCTGCTTAGAACTCCTAGGAACAGAAGCTTTTATATCAATTTCCGCAGTTAGGTAGCGACAGGAACTCTGAAATAATAAAAAGTTGAAATACACATTGCTCATGTAGTAGTGTTTTTATTAAAATAAACGCTAATCGGGGTTTAAAGGATTTTTTGTAGCAGTCGATGAGTTTTCACTCCAGAGATAATTGAGTGTTGCATCATTGCTACACAGTACTAACAATGTACATGGCAGATAATACTGAGATCAGTACTAGGTATGTACGTTCACTTAATTACACATTCTACCCTCTACGCGATCTGCCACACAAATTACCCTCGACTTGCTCCATGCAGGGTTCACAGCATAACCAGCAGAGCAACAGCATATCTAACTTGGAGGTCGTGCGTGGGTGCGAATCATGCCGATGTCAAAACACTTTCTCTTTGCCTCGTGTGGTCCCCAAATTCCATTTACTTGGCGAAACGCTTATTGGGGTTTATGGGTTGAACTTACCAGAAGTTGGAAAGTTGTTCTTTCCATCCCTGTCAAGCTTTCTCATGCGGACATCTCGGTTGAAATCTAATACAACTTTCAACTGGACATGTATCATATCCCTTTCGCAGCATTCTACTCCTACAAAAAAAGACAGTATAACATGAACGTTATCCTGGGGAAATAATGGTTACAAAAATCACTAGTACTGTTTACTGAATCAGTAGCCAATGAGAACTCTGAAGGGAAACACCACATGAGATTTGCGTTGGTATTTTTCATAACAAGGTTGCTTTGCCTGCAGAATTTTAAAACTCTTTTTTCACTCTACGGCCTCCCTTTCGTAAATGTAATGTGTAGTTGCAGAAAATATTCATAACCCCCCACGGAAGGCAACGGAAATTCCGAGGGGAGGCGGGGATGTCGAAAAGGAGGCATTTACCGAGGGAGTCGGAGGTTGCTTACAGAGGTCTTTTTCTAGGGGTCTGAGTAAGATCGGTGAGTTATTAATAAATAACAGCTTCTCTGTTGAGAAAGCTTACATCAGTTATTTTACTGTCACCGGTGCTTCAAAGCAACCATTATTATTTGCATTGATCATCTTTTTTCTAGGGTCGGCTAAATGCTTTTTTCAATAGTTTTCTTTAACACAATACAGTCGAATTTCTTTAATACGGACACCGAAGGGACAGAGCGACCCTACTGATGGCCAATGATGCCATTCATTGAATGCACAATGGAACAATCTGAATTACGCCTTCAGTTCACATATATGGTTACACAGTTCACATATATGGTTTTCATATATTCATAACTTTGTCATTTGTTACAGCACTGCATAAAGAATACGTATTGAATTGGCTATTGCCACAGTATTTTCGATTACCGTATTTCAATTATAAGTGTAAGTTTTGAAAACTAACATCTTGACATGTTCTGGTATTGGTATCGCTGACTAACTAGGTGTCAATGGCACATACCGCAAATTATCGACACCTGGTCCCCGGTTGGTCTGTAATAAAGAGGTTAATTTTGTGTTAATTTGCTCTCAAGGGCTGAGATTTTGTGTCCATTGTCCGTATTAGAGAGGGTTTTTTGTAGAGGAAATTTATGATAATTTTGTCGGTACATAGGAAACTGTCCGTATGGAGAGGTTCGACTGTAATTGTCATCGGCTCCTGAATAAACCTTCCGGTTGTATATAACAAATAGTTGCAACGAATCCTTTAACTTACCTGGAGAAGAAACAGAAGCAGCCTAGATCCTCGTGGCAATGAATTGGTGCGTGCGCATTACGTCATAGCGGGGCGATGACGCATGTATTATATTATATATTCAAAATGGCGACGAAAACGGCACAAATAGGAATGTGAAGAATCTGGCAGAAAGTGCCTATGAAATTGGTAACCGCGCCTTGAAGAATAGGTTGCGTTCTTCTCGGTAGGTTTCTTTTGCAGGTCAGAGGTCAAAGGTCACAGGTTACAGGTCACAGGTCATAGATAAAGTTGGGAGACGAAATTTAAATTTAGTAATACAGTGTTGTAAAAATACAGTAGCAGTTGCATTTCTAAGAATATCTTGCAGAAAATCTTCCAAGTTCGTTCTGTGTTGGTATTCATTTACACTCGGAAATAAAAGACGAGATGTAGTCACAAAGGCGGTGTCCTTTATGTAACAGCCGTCAATTCAGTGTCAATTCCACATTTTATTCGATCCGATCAACTACGCTCAACACACTGTTCGAATACAATTTTCGAATACGAAGTTCCCTCCGTGGGGGGTATAAATATTTTCTGGAACTACAGTCGACTCTCTCTTAATGGACACCTCTGTAAAACGGACACTTGAAGTTGGTCCCTGCCTTTCTTTACTCCCTTTATTTGACTCTCTATAAGACGGACACCTCTCTAAGACGGACACTTAGTGCCGGTCCCAAAGGTGTCCGTCTTAGAGAGAGTTGACTGTACACAATAAAAGATGTGTTCAGTATTTTACTGACTGCTTCAGTGCATACATGCCAACTCTCCCAGATAAAATAGAATTATGAGCTTTTCAGTAATTTCATTTTGGGTTTTTCCCATTTTTTTCTCAAAATTCCAATTTTCTTTGATGCATAGTTTGGTTTCTGGGGCCTCTTTGCACGTATTTCATCACTGACAAAGATTATTTGGCCTTCACGATCATAACAGCGAATTATGATGGTCTGTACTTCATGTCCTAAGCTTATCGGGCGATTGGGCGGGGGGGAGGGGTGATGAAAAAGAGAGAGTTTCCAGATTTTAGATTTCCAGGGGTTGGCATCTCTACGGCCAGTGTGGTGCCTTGGTTGATGGTTTTTCGAAAGGTTTCTATGGATATATATGTTGTAGAAAATTTTTTATCTCAGATAATTTGTATTTTTCTTTTCTTTTAACTTCATTAGCAAAACATTAAAATCCCCCCCTCGCAAAAAAAATATATTCCCTGAAATAATATATTACCTACAACATATACATAAATTGGTCTACATGTTTTTCACTGAGTGTTTATCATACAGTGAATGGTTTAACAATTGCATCATGCATTCTACTTAGTACAGGTATCAAGGCATCAACAGCAAATTTGTTTTCAAGATAGCATTATCTAGTAGCAGCCTTGGGGGGTCTTGCAATGTTACCTACCTCTTCAGCTGATTAAGGCAAGCTTTTGGTTCAAGTTTTCATGCCCACAGGTGGCCTTTGAGGATTACAATGAGAGCTTCATGTTCAATTTGCCATGTACAGATATTTTTCTGGAAAATTAAATGTGTGTTATTACTATCAGACTATAACTTCTACTTACACTGTGGTTATCTGTGTTGGGTTACAACGACTAAGAGCATTAAATAAAAATATTGTTTTTAAGGCAAGTCAGGTTTCTGCATCGCATTTGTTCTGTTTATCTCGAGAATTACTGTAGATGACTGATTTGTTGCTCATAATGATGCAGTACAGTTTAAAAGTTTCTTATCCAGGACAGGAAAAAAAATTAAAACCCACCTGTCCATGGTAATGTGGTTCTAACTTAGTTCTTGTCTACGATAAGTCATATATGTCAGTTCATTACTTGGCTTATTCTGGCTACGTGCGAGGAGTTAGATGACAATGTTTGTGTGCTATGTAATTATGTTGATAATTTCTTGCACAGCTTTGCACCTTTGTATTGAAACTCATGAAAGCCAAACTTGTTTAACCCTAGCAAAAATCTCTATTATTATGGAGAAATTTTTAATGTCTTTTGGGGCAAAATATGGTGTAACATTTGGGGAAAACAAAGCTTGATATTTGGCGAAACGGGCTGTAGCTTTTTTCTCTGAATAGAAGGCAAGCCAAACACGAGCTTTAGGCCCCATGAGTACAGCGTAACCCAGTGATTCTTTCGGCAGAGCTCACAAAAATAGGCTGCACTTAAGGTGGCACACCCATGAGTGTAGTGTAACCAAGTGATTCTTTAGGTAGAGCTAACAAACATAGGCTGCACTTTAGGTGGCGCACCCATGAGTGGAGTGTAACCCAGTGATTCTTTAGGTAGAGCTTACAAACATAGGCTGCACTTAAGGTGGCGCACCCATGAGTGCAGTGTAACCCAGTGATTCTTTAGGTAGAGCTAACAAACATAGGCTGCACTTTAGGTGGCACACCCATGAGTGTAGTGTAACCAAGTGATTCTTTAGGTAGAGCTTACAAACATAGGCTGCACGTAAGGTGGCCCACCCATGAGTGCAGTGTAACCCCGTGATTTTTTAGGTAGAGCTTACAAACATCGGCTGCACTTTAGGTGGCACACCCATGAGTGCAGTGTAACCCAGTGATTCTTTAGGTAGAGCTAACAAACGCAGGCTGCACTTTAGGTGGCATACCCATGAGTGTAGTGTAACCTAGTGACTCTTTAGGTAGAGATGACAAACATAGGCTGCACTTTAGGTGGCATACCCATGAGTGTAGTGTAACCCACTGACTCTTTAGGTAGAGATAACAAACATAGGCTGCACTTTAAGTGGCGCACCCATGACTGAGTGTAACCCAGTGATTCTTTAGGTAGAGCTAACAAACATAGGCTGCACTTTAGGTGGCGCACCCATGAGTGCAGTGTAACCCAGTAATTTTTTTGGTAGAACTAACAAACATAGGCTGCACTTTAGGTGGAACTCCCACGAGTGCAGTGTAACCCAGTGATTCTTTAGGTAGGGCTAACAAACATAGGCTTTACTTTAGGTGGTGCACCCATGAGTGTAGTGTAACCCAGTGATTCGTTAGGTACAGCTAACAAACATAGGCTGCACTTTAGGTGGCACACCCATAAGTGCAGTGTAACACAGTGATTCGTTAGGTAGAGCTAACAAACATAGACTGCACTTTAGGTGGCGCACTCATGAGTGAAGTGTAATCCAGTGATTCGTTAGGTAGAGCTAACAAATATAGGCTGCACTTCAGGTGGTGCACCCATGAGTGCAGTGTAACCCAGTGATTCTTTAGGTAGAGCTAACAAACATAGGCTTTACTTTAGGTGGCGCACCCATGAGTGCAGTGTAACACAGTGATTCGTTAGGTACAGCTAACAAACATAGGGTGCACTTTAGGTGGCACACCCATGAGTGCAGTGTAACCCAGTGATTCGTTAGGTAGAGCTAACAAACATAGGCTGCACTTTAGGTGGCACACCCATGAGTGCAGTGTAACACAGTGATTCGTTAGGTAGAGCTAACAAACATAGGTTGCACTTTAGGTGGTGCACCCATAAGTGCAGTGTAACCCAGTGATTCGTTAGGTACAGCTAACAAACATAGGCTGCACTTTAGGTGGCACACCCATGAGTGCAGTGTAACACAGTGATTCGTTACGTAGAGCTAACAAACATAGGCTGCACTTTAGGTGGCACACCCATGAGTGTAGTGTAAACAAACATAGGCTGCACTTTAGTTGGCACGCCATGAGTACAGTGTAACCCAGTGGTTACGTAGAGCTAACAAACATAGGCTGCACTTTAGGTGGCACACCCATGACTAAAGTGTAAACAAACATAGGCTGTACTTTAGGTCGCACATCTATAAGTAGAGTGTAACCCAGTGATTCTTTAGGTAGAGCTAACAAACATAGGCTG